TTCCACAACCTGGGTGCCACAACTAAGAAGGCTCTCTCCCGATTCACTGCCAAACAATCCACAGAGTAGGGTCTATCTAGATCTTAGGCACTGTGCAGACTAGAACAGGAGAAGGCAGTCCTTTATAATCACTACACTTAATTGCACCAGGAAACAGATTGGTAGCTAGAGCAAGCATTGCAGACTGGTGTAATGTAGTCTTATGGGCAAGCACCCAGAAACAACCTTGATCCAGATAGATCTTATTGGAGTAATCCGACCTTGATTTAATTCAGACGTGTTATCATAGCCAGGTCTGACCTCCTCAGGAAGTATGTAAATGGCACGCCAATCTGAACTGAACAAAGGCCTTCCTAAGCCTCTGCCTCCACCACCTGAGCATGCAGGTGCAAGGCTGACTCCAGGATTGAGCACCTTTCCCCCTCTTTTACATGGAGTTTTGCATTGCAGTTAGCCCAGAACCACAGAATTTGAAGGGACAGAATCACAGAATTGTAGAGTGGAAGGTATCACAAATGTTGCAGTCAAAGACCTTTTCAGGCTCGTGAACGCCTGGCAACAAAACCCAAGTATTTGCAAAGGAGTTAAGCTTTTGTTGCAAAGGGCCTTGCATTGACCTAGACTGCCAACTATAAGTCGTAAACAGCAGTCTGCCTATAACAGAGATTACAACTTTGCACTATTTGCCCAAAACTACTGTAACACCAGCAGGACATTTTTAAAATGTTATCCTGTATAAAATGGCATCATAGAATTCTTCAGGTCCTTAGGCTAAGATACAAATAGATAATAATTAGGATAACTAGGCTCCATTTCTTCCCCTTCATTAAATGCCCACAAGGTAACAGCTAGGTAATTTCAGTTTAAAACTTTTTGCATCACCTTTCACTCACCAATCAAAATTATTCCAGAAAATGGCCTTGAGTGCTGATAACTGCACGAGGAGCATTAAATCGGTTTCTGCAAAATTGCCTGTAGGTTGACAGTGAATTAGCCACCATTCTCAAATGTTTGCCAGTACTGATTTTACTTCCCAAACTTCTCATCTACCATTAAGAATACCAATAAATTTAAATTATGGGAGAGACACTGTGGGTCATTCGCTCTTTTCTTCCATGTGCATTATTCATAACATGCAATGGGGAATCCAATTCTGGGATATGATTTGGAATTAAGTAGTCTTTGAAATGTAAATAACATTCATGAGTACATTCTGCCTGCCCCAAGAATGTGCCCTCATCAAAAACTTAAAAGCATTTTATTTTTCTCCACTGAGTTGCAATTTTCTTCCCTCCACTTTCAGGCAGAAAATCGTCAGAAGTAAGCTTTCTGCCTCCCACCTACAGATAGCTCTCAGCTGGTGTTAGTTTACACAGATTGCAACTCTTAACTTTCCATATCTGTAACTCATGGCCAGTATTGCAAGAACCTATTCAAATTTGCTTCCAAACTGATCAGCACTTGGTGCCTTTTATGTTTAGCCTTTCATTTTCTTGTTTTCTTTTATTACTCGATCTCCCAACAGGTCAACTTTGAGCCGAGACACACCGAGTTTCTTTGTAGGACTGTGGATGGAATCACAGCAACGGAGAAGGAGTGTGAGTCCTTTCCCTCAGCACCACTTCCCCAATTCAAACCCTCACCTCAAATGCTTATTAGGCACAAATGTGCAGACATAATATTGGTGCTGAGAAAGTGCTTGTACACCGCCTTTCTATATTACTATACACAAGGCGGTTTACAAGCTGAAGAAACAAAAAATAAGACAGCAAAGATCACACAGCAATGTGTGGTCCAACCCCAAAAAAATCATAATAAAAGGGTAACTTAAAAATAAACAACTTACCGTATATCATATAAAGCAATATTCAACAATCCATTGGAACATGATAATAAACAATAAAATTGGGGGGGCCACCAGGTGGCACATTGGAAGATGGCCAACAATAACATCTCTCCAACCCACACGAGGTAATTAAGAGGCTGCTATGGGAAGTATGCAGTCTTCCTGACCCCCCAAGGAGATGGGGGAGACAGCCTTGCCAGCGGTGTCCACAATGCACCCCCGGATTTGTAAGAAGGGGTGCCGGTCACTGGCACAGCCCTCGGTGAAGTCGGCTCTTCCCGGACGCCGTCTCCAATCAGCGCATGCTGGTTCGCTTTAGCTCGAAAATATAATTGGAAACATATAATTGGAAAAGAAGCTAAAGCACATACATCAAGTGAAGTTCGGGTGATAAGACTGCTGATTAATGGATCTCTGTGACCGGAGCAACAGATGAGATAAATAAATCAAGTGAGGAATTACCATCAAGACACTGGTACGTTTGGACTGAAATGGAAGGGGGGTGGAGGAAAAAACTTTTCTTTTCTTTGCCTTATGTGATTATTAATAACCCTCCACCCCAGAAAGAAGTTTGTTGCATTTGCTAACCATAAGCAGGAATCTAAGAACTGTGTGGAATGAATTTCAAAGAGATTGGTAAATATTGGAGAACAAAGGAAAGTTTTTATGACGCAGTTTAAAATGGTGTTTCGCTAAGACAAGCTTGTCTAAGAAAGACGGGAGGCGGAGGACCAGTACCATCGGAATGTGAATGATGATTGATGATTGGAATGTGATCTAACTGGCAGAGCCTTTTGTGAGATACTTGGCAAACCTGCGAAAATTAAAGGACAGACCGAGGATAATTTTTTTACGGAAGGTGGAATGGCGTCTGTCCCTATGTGATATGACTTTTGGGAGAGTCTAAAACCCACACAGAGGAGTTTGTTTTCCAACCTGCTTGTGAGGATTATCAGAGATCGCAAAGAAAGGATATATGATAACAATAAGAAGATGAAGAAAGTAATAAAGAGACTATCTGGACAGATCTGGATAGAATTTTCTAATTAAAGCAGCAATATAAGTGATGTTTGGATCCCCGTTCAGAGCTTGATGTATGGGTACCCCCAACAAAATTTAAAAATCTGGCTGTATAATTTGGAATTAATGTGATATGGAAATAATGTGATTTGATTGGCCTGTTAATAAAAATCATTTAAAAAAAACACAAGATAGTAAACAATAAAATTAAATAATAAAGAATTACAGAACTATAATCAATAGAAATAACGGCAAGTCACAATGCATAAAATACCACAAAACATATGCCATGTAAGAGCATCAAATTGAGAAACAAAAACACACAACTGATAAAATTATTTTCTAAAAAAATATCCCTGACCTTTTCTCTCTTCCCCTCTACTTCTGCTGTTCCCAAAGTCATTCATTCATTCAGCCTTTATTGGCATAATTGTTCTCAAAGTCATGGTCTAGGGAAAGGCTCCTATGGCTGGAGGGTGGGGCAAGGCAGGTGGGAAAATCTACTGCCTGGTGACCAGCACAAAGTCTCTCTCCCCTCACAGTTCTCCCTCTGGAAACAGAATTTCCCCCTTTGCTGCCAGAAACTGCTCCAGGGAAGGGAATCAGCCCAGAGGTCAAGGGTCAGCTTCTTCACCCCACATTCTTCAATCCAAATCCAAGCTGTTTTAACAAAATATGTCAGGAGTTACATGTTCTGGCAGGAGATGAGTAATTGGAAGTGCACTTCGGATTCATTTTTAACTTTTGTATTTGTCATCTGTTGTATTCTGCACATACTGGAATGGCCCAGTTAAGATCTCTACACAATGGCCTATGGCTTTGCCATTAATAAATTGACTTGCTTCCAAAATGACTCATGATTTCCCAAGCTCCTGCCAGGCAGATCCAATAAATCTGTCTTAGCTGCAATGGCACAAAATAGCCATGGCTAAAAGCAGTATCCTAAAACCCTGTCAAGGAAGAGGCAGCTTTTCTGAGCCCTCTCCTGCCAGGTAAACGGACTCAGTAGCTTTTCATTTCCAAGAAAGACACTGAACCTAATTGGAAAGCTATTCGCACTGTTGCACTGGCTTTCCAGAGCCTCTAGCAGGTGAAAGGCCGCCCAGGCCTGAAATAATGTAACTCCTATCTCCACTAGTGTCACATAAGTACAGCGCGAAGTGAAAAAGAAATGAAAGCCTGATGGCTGCTACTCCTGCAGTCCTCCTGGGAATGGTGCAAACAACAATGCAAAGGCTACCAGGTTGTTTCCTGCTACTGTTAACTCGAAACTCCATAAAAATATGCAGCTGCATGCTTGGGAAAACATATGCCTGCGTGGCACTAATATCACGGATTTCAAAACAGTATGTCAATTGTAAATTTCTATTTCCTCAAGTCACGTTCTAGTTTCATGGTGTTGAGGGAATGGGGTTGGAATGCCTTGCTTCAATTATGGCAGCTTTGTAGCAGGTATGAAGCAATTACCTTGCAAAATTCTCAGTCTGTGAAGTTTACAGCATAAACCACGGTTTATAGTGCAAACCACGGTTTACAGATCAAGAATACTGCTCTGCCAAATGAGGACTCCCCATTCTCTCATAAACTATAGTTCTGTGTTACATCTGCATTGAGGCAAATATCGCTGTGGTTAGAGATGATCAGAATTGCCTGAAAACATGGTTTGCAAATTCATTTTAAAACATGGATTCAAAAAAAACCTAGTTAGCTCCAACCATATTTGGTACCAATGCAGATGTCATGTTAAGTGATAGTTGGAACACCACATGAAAAGGCGGCGGGGGGGGGAGGTTTCCTGTGGAAGAAAAAGTGGGAGAATAAAGCACATTATGACCTAAAAGGACCATTCAGACATGTACACTTTCCCCAAGTTTAATTTTGGTCAATATAAAAACAAAGTGGTACAGTTTGAAGATACCCATTATGAAACCACTCCAGAATAATCTGCTAAAAGATTAAAGCACAATATGCTACCAGTTTACAACAAATGTAACTGGTTGGAAGATTAAATAGAACCCCAAATTATCACTTATCTGGTTGTGCACACCATAAAAATGCATATTTTTTTTCTCCAGCTAAGAATGAATTAAGCTGCAATAAAATTCATGGAAGGGTTTTATTTTTATTTTTTTTTAAATAATATTTATTAAGATTTAAAAGGTTACAAAAAGAAAAAATAGAAAACAGCATATTAAGCAAAAACAAAACATCACATCACAATAAGGAAAAAAAACTAGAAAAATAAAAACAGTTAGGAAAAAAAAATACAATGAACCTTCCCATAACTTATCTTTCATTTGCTTGTTTCCTTGACCTCCTCACACCTCCCTTTTTTGTATTCTAGTTCAGTTAGCTATTTCAGCAAGTCCTTTCCATCTTTTCCAGTTTTTGTCCTATATTTTATCTTAATATAATGTAACTTTACTTTCCCTCCTTTCACCATTTAACAATCTGTTTTTTCTTAATCCTTTATAGCATTTCTGCTAAAACCACATTACTTCATTCCAACATCCTTCTAACATTCCTTAATTTTACAATGTTTCTGTAAATAAACTTTAAATTTCTTCCAATGGAAGGGTTTTAGACAAAGCCTTCTCGGTGGTGGCACCTGTCCTGTGGAACGCCCTCCCATCAGATGTCAAACAGATAAATAACTACAGTGGACGCTCGGGTTGCGAACGTGATCCGTGTGGGATGCACGTTCGCAACCCACAGCATGCGCAAAGCGCAATTTAGCACTTCTGCACATGCATGACTGCCGAAACCCGTTTTAACAACCTGTTCCGGTACTTCCGGGTTTCGGCGGTCCGTAACCCAAAAAAACGCAACCTGAAGCGGCTGTAACCCAAGGTATGACTGTATTTTACATTTGAAGGCAATCCTGTTCAGGGAAGTTTTTGATGGTTGAAGTTTTATTGTGTTTTTAATATTTTGTTGGGAGCCACCCAGAGCAGATGGGGCAACCCAGTCAGATGGACGTCATATAAATAATAAAAATATTATTATTATGAATGAATACTTGTTGCCATCCTGTATAGCCCAACATTGCATGAAAACAGCAAAAGGAAATAATATGTTGCACTGAAATGCTGAACCTATGTACCTTCATAGTTACCGCAAGCGTTAAAACATAGCTGCACATTGAACTCTGGGAAGGGAAGGAAACACACTTTTTAGGAGCTCAACATTAACAGACCACCAACAACTAAAACAAAACCCCAAACCCACTGATAAAACTATGTATAGTATGATAGCTAACAGAGTAATTCTTCTACCATGGAAAGCAGCCAGAATGCTTAGAAGTATATTGGCCCCAAGTGACCCAGCTAATTTGGAGACAAAATCTTTCCAATTAAACTGACAGGACAGAAAAGCCTGTCCTGATTATTTTTAGAGATGCATGACCAACCTAAAATCTGTGACTGGGTAAATGTTTTAAATACAGAGTGCTGATGGCTTCTCCTGTTTGGCATGTTCCATATGACTTCTTTTGTTGTGCGCTTGCATGATTCCACCCTTAACGCTCATTAAAAACATTTAGAGATCCAGGGTGAGATGCTCAGACTCTGCGGAACCCTGAGCACATTTCATTGTCATCTTGCATAGCTTTTATTTAGTGAGCTGCACTTGGTTTTATAGGTCACTGATTGAAAACTGTGGCCATAGTTTTGCGCAGTGCTAATTGCTAGCAGGGTCTAAAAACGAAGTATTAAGGGTTGTCTGGACATATATAGGAATACATTACCCAGCAAGATGAATTATACCCATTACTTTGTATCAATGAGCTGCAATAATCTTGAATTTCTTATTCTGGGACGAAAATGATAATGCCTTCCTACTCATAATTAGGCTGCTCTTCCTTTTTCTCTCTGCATGCAAAAGGTCCTACGTCCAATCCCTGGCCTCTCCTGTGAAAAGTTCAGGAGGCAAGACTGGGAATGACCTCTGCCAGATGCGTCTGGCTGCCACATCCATCCATAGTACAGTGGTACTTCAGGTTACATACGCTTCAGGTTACAGACGCTTCAGGTTACAGACTCCGCTAACCCAGAAATAGTACCTTGGGTTAAGAACTTTGCTTCAGGATGAGAACAGAAATCGTGCTCCGGCGGAGCGGCGGAAGCAGGAGGCCCCATTAGCTAAAGTGGTGCTTCAGGTTAAGAACAGTTTCAGGTTAAGAATGGACCTCCGGAACGAATTAAGTACTTAACCCGAGGTACCACTGTATTGGGGATAGGCAGGACTGACTCGGTCTAAGGCAGCTTCACGCTGTTGCTGTTTTAAAAAAACACACCATTTTATATTGAAATGAAACTGAATCGCACATCTGAAGGGCACAATATGGAGGCACCTGATCAGCACAACCTTTCATTAACTGTGATTTGTTAAATAATATGATTACGATTGTTTTATTTATTACATTTATGAATTGCTTGTTGTAAAACATCTCGTCGTGATCCAACAATAAAAAACACCAACAATAAAAGTGTATGTTTAAAAACAACTTCAAGTCCATTTAGATCAGGCTTCCTCAACCTCGGACCTCCAGACGTTTTTGGCCTACAACTCCCATGATCCCTAGCTAGCAGGACCAGTGGTCAGGGGTGATGGGAATTGTAGTCTCAAAACATCTGGAGGGCCGAGGTTGAGGAAGCCCTATTTAGATTGTGAGCCTGGGAGCAGGGCTAGTTTAATTGGTTGCATCTAAGCCACTTCGTCAGGATTGTCAGCTGAAGAGCAGGATGCAAAAGCTCCAAATAAAGAGCCATTGAGTCCATAATAATAATAATAATTTATTTATACCCCGTCCATCTGGCTGGGTTTTCCCAGCCACTCTGGGCAGCTTCCAACAAAAGATTAAAAATACATTAAAACACCAGTCATTAAAAACTTCCCTAAACAGGGCTGCCTTCTAAAAGGTGTCTTCTAAATGTCAGATAGGTGTTTATTTCTTTGACATCTGATAGGAGGCCGGGCGCCACTACCGAGAAGGCCCTCTGCCTGGTTCCCTGTAACCTCACGTCTCACAGTGAGGGAACCACCAGAAGGTTTTCGGAGCTGAACCTCAGTGTCCGGGTTGAATGATAGGGGTGGAGACGCTCCTTCAGGTATACTGGGCCAAGGCCATTAGATCTAGGCCATAGATTAACAAAGGCCTCATCTGTTTTTCTTTTTTCAATTTAGTTTCCTAAAACAAACCCTATGCCTTTGATATATTGAATTGATCATGCACTGACTGCCCGGGCACATGTTCAAAAGTGCAAAGGCCGTTTGGCACCTTAGGTGGACGTTCTCAGTGGACACACACTTTAGCATTTTAATTCTTTAGTGATGACTAACTGAAACTTTAGAATGCAGTCTTGTATGTGTGCCCGATACTATCTTCTCCAAATATTTTGAAAAGCACGCATGGCACATAATGAAGGATACAATGTCGGGCTTTCCAAGAACTGACTTTTCTATTTCTAGCAAGTGCCAAAATGAACTGTTTTTAACTAAGTGCGGCTTTTTTTGTTGAGTTGGCTTGACTTTGTGCTTCTCTTTTTTGCACTGCTTGTGGCCATTTGAGGAAATGTCTACTTAAAACAACTGTCAAACAAACCTACTTATTCACAACGAGATAGCAAGAAGAAATAGACTCTCAGAGGATATGCAAGTTAAACAAGGCATTCGAGCAGAAGTATGAAAGATTAATGGAAGGCACTGACACTCTCAAGATTGGGTTGTTTATAGTTCATCACCCTAATACAGCCAGGGAAATACTTCTGCAAAGTGGACTCCAACCGAAGGGCGCCCTTGCTGGATTGGGAACAGTGTGTGAAGCAGAGGAAATCTGTCCCACGGCATTACAGTGGTACCTTGGGTTACATAGCTTCAGGTTACATACGCTTCAGGTTACAGACTCCGCTAACCCAGAAATAGTGCTTCAGGTTAAGAACTTTGCTTCAGGATGAGAACAAAAATCGTGCTCCGGCAGCGCGGCGGCAGCAGGAGGCCCCATTAGCTAAAGTGGTGCTTCAGGTTAAGAACAGTTTCAGGTTAAGTACAGACCTCTGGAACGAATTAAGTACTTAACCTGAGGTACCACTGTATTCTTAGGGCAATGTTCACTAATCACCTATCACCTGTGAGCCAGTGTGGTGCAGTGGTTAAGAGCGGTAGACTCGTAGTCTGGTGAACTGGGTTCGCATCCCCGCTCCTCCACATGCAGCTGCTGGGTGACCTTGGACTAGTCACACTTCTCTGAAGTCTCTCAGCCTCACTCACCTCACAGAGTGTTTGTTGTGGGGGAGGAAAGGAAAGGAGATTGTGAGCCACTTTGAGACTCCTTAGGGTAATGATAAAGCAGGATATCAAATCCAAACTCCTCTTCTTCTTCTTGCAATGTGGCCGGGATTGCGCAGGCCCATGTGCCACCTCCATTGCTAAGAAGCAGCAGAATGCGATGATAGAATCTAGAGATGGGCCGAGCCTTTTGAGAATGCCCAGAGGAGGAGAGTATTTAATAAATGTTAAGGAGAAAGCTTGTTCCTGGAGGGAGAAAGACTCCAGCTCGTCCCCTTCTGCAATCCATTGGGTTTTCTACTTGCAGAATTATCTTTAGCCTCAAAAAGAATGCTCTTAAAAGATCAGACAAATTCGTGCATGAGACTAACCACAATGGCTATATTCCACCTCCACTCTCAGAGATAATATGCCTTGGAATTAGCAGTTTCTGCTGGGAATCCCAGGTAGGCAGTGATCTTATGTTCAGGTCTTGCCTGAAGGCTTCCCAAAGGCATCTGGTTGGCCACTAGATGGGCCTTCATCCTGATCCGGCAGGTTCTTCTTATGTTCTTAATGTATTTCTCCAGTTGTAGCTTGAAATTATGTACACTCCATCATACTATCTTTATCTTAGGATCTGCCACCTCATTCTGCTGGGATCCCCTGTAGCAGATGATCAAGGCCCATATGCAGTGAAGCTTCCCACTATGAACAAAACCTGGCTAGAAAGGTGAGATTTGAGTTGAAAAAGCTCAGTTTTCAACTGCAGAAGACTTTGTTTGGAACACTGTACACCCATCCTAATGCTTCCCAATGCTAATGTTAGGTGCATACGGCTGCTTTTTCCAGACTGCACAGTTAAACTGATTTACCACTGAAAAGTGAGGCAGTTAGCACCAATTTTAATTATCTTAAATTGTTTTCATTCCTACTCTGTATCTCCCTAAAGAAGGAAACCATTTAAACGTTCATTTTCGCTGCACCTACTCTGGTGAATTAATGTATTTCTGACTTGACAATACTGATAAAATGATAGTTATCAAGGTCTATTCTATTTATCCTTGGAGAAATGAAACTATTTAACAAGAAGAAGTTAAAATAAAATCTTTCTCGGAGGGCATTGTAAGTCCTATTGCCTCAGTATTGTATTTTCTTCCTACCCATCTTCTATCAATTGTACATTTTGAATTACTTTATGAAATTAAGGCTGCAGTTCAATGCACCCGAGAGCAAATCCCATTGAACTCCGTGGTACTTATGTCTGAGTAAACATGCTTAGAAGCAGGCTGCATAATACATACCAAGTGGACAAACTGCAATCCCCTTTTTCTTCTCCTTAGAAACAGTTTACCTTGCCTTCAGTGAATATATACACATATAAAGGTAAAGGGACCCCTGACCATTAGGTCCAGTCGCGGACGATTCTGGGGTTGCTGCGCTCATCTCGCTTTATTGGCTGAGGGAGCCGGCGTACAGCTTCCGGGTCATGTGGCCAGCATGACTAAGCCGCTTCTGGCAAACCAGAGCAGCGCACGGAAATGCCGTTTACCTCCCTGCCGGAGCGGTACCTATTTATCTACTTGCACTTGACGTGCTTTCAAACTGCTAGGTTGGCAGGAGCAGGGACCGAGCAACGGGAGCTCACCCCGTCGCAGGGATTCGAACTGCTGACCTTCTGATCAGCAAGTCCTAGGCTCTGTGGTTTAACCCACAGCGCCACCTGCGTATATACACACATATATAATAAATCTTAATATTACAGTGGCTTTTCCCCTCTCCATTCCAGGGATCAGAGAGGATCCAAACTAGAATACAATATTTAATTACTGATCCTTAAGCCAATATCAAGTACTAGAATATTGCTCGAACAAATATTTAAACAACTCGGAACTATTAACAATCACTTGTAGATCGTTACTAGATGGGGAACATGTGGCCTACTAGATGTTGTCTGACTACAACTCCCATCATGACTGGCCAACTGAACTCAGTGCCACTGAACTCAGTTCATTACTTCTAGGTAAATATTCTTAAGCTACGGCTGCAAGGCCCCATCTGCACTATGCACTTAAAGCAGTATCGTACCACTTTCAACAGTCATAACTTCTGCCAAAGAATCGTTTAAAATGTAGTTTGTTAAGGGTGTTGAGAGTTGTTAGAGGAGATGCCTGTTCCCCTCAAAGCTAGTTTCCAGGGTTCCCTAGGAAAAGGAGTTGATTGTTAGCCCACTCTGAGAATTGTAGCTGTGAGGAGAACTGGTGTCTCCTCACACTCCTCTCAGCACCCTTAACACTTCCCATGATTCTTTGGGGGAAGCCATGGCCGTTTAAAGTGGTATGATACAGCTTCAAATGCATAGTGCAGACGGAGTCTTAAAGCTGCAACAGATTTCTCCATCTCCCACCATCATGAAACCTATTCAAGATGGCACATTTGAAAATTCCCAAGATTAAGGCTCACAATCATGTTCCAGACCCAAAGTACAGTGGTACCTCAGGTTAAGTACTTAATTCGTTCCGGAGGTCCATTCTTAACCTGAAACTGTTCTTAACCTGAGGTACTATTTCTGGGTTAGCGGAGTCTGTAACCTGAAGCGTATGTAACCTGAGGTACCACTGTAATTAGGACTATCTCTTGAGGCAAAAGCATTCTGGGATCCTGGCACTTCCCTGCTGTCAAGTATGTGACTTCTTGTTTCCTAAAACAGTTTGGACATAAAAGGCCACATGGAACCATTTCAGAACACCTCAAATTCAGCACTTAGTATTTTATTGTCCAACACAGAAATGTACCGGTGACCTGTGGTTTGTACAGCTTTCTCGACAGAACTTGTCAGCATCCCAAAAAACATGAGGGCTCTCAAAGCAACATATCAGAACATCATGGCTTCTAGTCCGTCTTCCATAAACTTCTTATAGATGGCCATAAACTTAGCCACAAATGCTTCCAGGTGATAAATGGCCTTGCTGCCCAGCTGCAGCCGGTGCTCATAGAAAGCTGCCATCTGTGCAACCTCTCCTTTCAGTTGTCCATCACAGTTGTTCAGAAGTTCAGTCAGAAGGCCCTAAAATGAGCAATAGCCAACAGTGAGAGAATTGAAGGCTCTACTCCCTAGAATGTTATGGGTACCATGGGCACTCAACAATCCAGAAAGTTACCCTGTGAGAATCAAGCCATTCAAATGATAATCTCCGATTTGGTAGGAGGGGGGACATTGTCATACAAATAACAGAACTATTATTATCACATTTACAGAGATATGCAATATATACCTGGTCCCAGATGCCCCAGGAATTAGGAATGGAATTACAAGATGCAGAGCACTATCATTGAATCAGAGAACTGTAGAGTTGGAAGAGACCCTGATGATCATCTAGTCCAACCCCTTGCAATGCAGGAATATGAAGGGATCAAACTTGCAACCTTGGTGTCATCAGCACCACGCTCTTAACCAACTGAGCTATCCAGGCTGCACCATGAACGGTGAAAAATAAAAATGATTAACATGTGCATCCCAAGCTTCCATTTAATCCCAGTCTCTGTTACTAAACCAATTAATAATCACAACATCAGTTACCTTTATTATAATCTCTGGAGGAATGCAATGGGTTAAGAGTTCATAGAGTCGCCCACGAACTTCCAGGAGCCTGTTGGAATAAAATCATTGGAAAGCTAATGCTTGGTTTTAACTCACTGTAATGCAAAGTTTTAAGGTTTAGCAACTGGCTTTTAAGTCTTTTTCATTCATTCATTCATTCATTCATTCATTCATATATATATTCATTCAGCTATGACAATCTCAGTCAAATTACCAAGTCAGAAAATTTAGTTCTCAAAACATTCAAGCTCAATTTGTTTTTGCTTTTTAAATCATGGGTGCACATAGCCCCAAGAACTCCAGGCTGGACGGGGTTAGGGATGGATCGGGGTGCATTTCTACTGGCAAAGAAAAACTTTGTTGGTGAGGGACAACGGACTATGCCCACTTAAAGCTCTGTGGGCATAGATCTACCAGCTGTAGGCCCTGAAGAAGGGTGTTCTGGGTGTCTGGCAGAGGAAGCCTTGGCTCTGCTGGATTCCAAGGCTCCTTTTCACTGCACCAGTGACGAGTGCCAGAGCACACGGAAACGCTGTTTATTTGTAAAAAATATATACGAATACTGCATGTAGCATTGTGGGGTTAAACTTGTTAAGCCTGCAGATGAGGCGAACATCTCTGTAGTTGGGAATGAAGAGAAGACCTTCGTGCTCTTTGAGTTTTTCTGGCTCGGGAAGCATAAGAGTCATGTAGCCAGGGGGTATATTTAGAGACTCAGAAGAATGCAGGAGCAGATAAAGGCATGATCTCAGCAGACAAAGGAACTGGAGCTTTTAAAATTTGAGAAACTGGACATCAGTCAATAGTGTTAAGGGACTATGTCTAGGCAGGGAGAGCTGGACTATATTTAATATACACTTTTTGCTCCATTGGGTGGAATGCTTTTCTGTGCATGTTAACTTCCCTTGTGCTTAATTTTTTCCCTAAGAACTGCCTTCATCTTTTTACTCAACTTTTAACTTGGTTTCATTTATTTAAAAGCACTAATGTGGTGGCGTTTGTTAATATAACCCCATGCCTAACATGCCAGGTTCCACACTACCCTGAAGTGTTCTTGTGGAGACACAAAGGCAATTTTAGGTTGCCTGGTGAAAGGCAGCCTTGTAGAAAAAGATATTTGAAAGATATTTAATATATTTGAAAGAAATATATTATTTGTATTATGCTTCGTATGCCAGTTCACTGGAACGCCAAGTGATTTAATTAAGTATGCCAACATTTCCAGTAGCAAAGCAAGTTTTTCCTCTTACGTTTGGAGGACACTATAAGAGAAATTTTGAGCTTACCTAATTTTGAGATACCTGGTATAATTGTTTTGATCACCCTGAATAATCGCCTGAATCTGAAAGCCTAAAGCTGGCCAACTGCCAAAGCTAGCAAGCAATCCTGCAACACTATTCTCCTGAGCCGCGTTTTCCAAGTGGAACAGCTTGTTAACAGCAGCATAGTCAGTGCTCTGCAATTTCTAAACAAGGCTTACAACAGCGACAAACTTCTCTAGCATGTCATGGTCCAACACAAGGAAGTCTCAAAATGCTTGTTGGGATGCTTGAAATTACAGGAAACCATCTACAAGCCACAACAGTTGGCAGCAGCTCTGTAGTTAACGTGACAGTTGTCAATGTCTCTTGCTGGCAGTGGGGAGCCGTTTTATCTATATGCACCTTTTAAAATCCTGAGTGTTGAAAAGAAATGATGAGGCAGGTACCTTGAAATTAAAAACAACTTCCTCCTGGCCCTGGATTTTACTGGCACCTGCGTCATTCAACCCCAATAGTCTCTTATAAAAAGGTAAAGGTAAAGGACCCCTGACAGTAAAGTCCAGTCGCAATAATGCTGGGATTGCGACGCTCATCTCGCTTTACTGGCCGAGGGAGCCGACATTTGTCTGCAGTTTTTCCGGGTCATGTGGCCAGCATGACTAAGCCACTTCTGGCGAAACTAGAGCAGTGCACAGAAACGCCGTTTACCTTCCCGCCGAAGCGGTATCTATTTATCTACTTGCACTTTGACGTGCTTTCAAACTGCTAGGTTGGCAGGAGCTGGCACCGAGCAATGGGAGCTCACCCCGCTGCGGGGATTCGAACCGCTGACCTTCCGATCGGCAAGCCCAAGGCTCAGTGGTTTAGACCACAGCGCCACCCGCGTCCCTAAGTCTCTTATAGGCAGCTCCTCCATTTCAGCAAACGCTAGCCTGGGACCAAGCTAATAGGGAGTCCACCACTAAGAAACACGAACACTTATTTCACAACCACAGAGCTGCTATTATCCAGAGATGCAGGATGTGTTCTAAAATTAGGCTGCTTGCTGTAAGATGGTAGGTAAGAGGGCACACAGGTTTAAAAAAAAAAATTGTGAACGGCAATCATGGAATTGTAGGCAGCCACCTCTTTTTCTACGCCTAAAGCAACAAGTAAAAAATAGCTCACATCAAAAAGGACCACACAGAGGGGAATCTGTGTTGAAAGCATTCATATATCTGCACCACACATTTAAAGAACTATTATGCCCTTGAAAGGTCATGGCTTTTCCCAAAGAATCCTGGGAGTTCAGCAGAGCAGTTTAACAATCAATCCCTCTTTCCAGGGGTTTTCAAGAAACTGTAGCTCTGTGAGGGGAACAGAGGTCTCCTAACAACTCTCAGCATCCTTAACGAACTACAGTTCCCAAGAAGCCATATAAATAGTGGCTTGAAATGTATGGTGCAAATGTGGCCCACTTCACACAGCGCCGTATCTCTTAAGAGTTTTAATGAGATCAGGAGCAGAACACATGACTAACGGTATCATCCGTTCACAGCAAGGAAGGATTCAGTGCTCCAAATTCACCATGACAGGATGTCATTTTGTTTCTGCCAATGCAATATATCTAAAGCTAGACAAATGGCTGGCAGCTGTAAAGAGGGCAGCGGCGAACGAGTGCCAACACCAGAGCACTTCATTGGCTGAAAAGAAAAAGTTTTACAGCACAAACAAACAAAGATGCTCTCATCCGATCCAGCTGGAAATGCTTCATTGCACTGAGCAAGCAAGTTTGTTTTACAGCAGTCTGCTTCACTGCAGCTGTTTTTAGAATATCAAAGATGGCTGCTAATGGGAACTTGACATCTCAGTGAGTCATTTTGCGCACTACATACCATAGGAACGTCCTTGCTGGAAAATAACCCGAGACTCCACCAAGCCCAGCTATCTGAGTACATGACTGCTACTCTTTCCTCACAAAGAAATTGGAAATAATACAGTTGAAGTTTCTCTGTGGTGAACATCTGGCTAATTCAGATGACAGCCTTGAGATGGGTTAAGAGCTCTGAGAACTTAAAGAAGTATGTGTTGGCCTATTCGGACCCCTTTTTCTTAATGGCGACACGGACCATTCATAACGTAGGAATATACTGTGAGCAGGGCAGTGGGGTGGGGTAAGGTAAAGAAAAGCTATGACCATGAACTGTAACGTTGCTCCCTGCCCCTGCTCAGGCTGCACAGAAAAAGCAATTGGGTTCCTGAAATTCAGGCTGATTGTGAAGATAAAATTCTACAAGCAAGCACCTCCGTATGGCAGAGCTGCCAGGCACCATCCTGTCACCCAGGCATCTTCGCTTGGTTGCGAGTGCAAAATGCGCCTGGCTAATTTCAAACACTGAGACCATAGCCATCGTGGCTAGTAGCTACTGTGATCTGCTCCAAAACAACAAGAATTTCTGTAAAGGAACTGCATCAGAAACTGGGATTTTAATATATAATTGTCTCATAGCGTGAGGTGCCCCGGAGGCAGAATACTGTATGTTACTGCCTGCAACAGATTTACCGTATTTTTCGCCCCATAAGGCGCACCGGCCCATAGGACGCACCTAGTTTTTTTGGGGGGAAATAAAGAAAAAAATTTATTTCCCCCCCAGGCGCGGGGCTGGGACGGGAAGCTGTCCCCCGAGCTTGTGGGGCTGGCGGCGGGGAGGAGCAGGCTTCTCCCGCCGCCAGCCTTCTAACCAGGTCAGGGGGCAGCGGGAAAGGCGCGCTGCGCCTCTCCCACTGTCCCCCGAGCTTGCGGGGCTGGCTTCTCCCCGCCGCCAACCTCCAAACCAGGTCGGGGGACAGCGGGATGGTGGCGTTCCGCCTCCCCGCTGTCCCCCAAGCTTGTGGGACTGGCGGTGGGGCTCTCCTGAAGCCTGGAGAGCAAGAGGGGTCGGTGCGCACCGGCCCCTCTCGCTCTCCAGGCTTCAGCGAAAGCCTGCATTCACCCCATAGGACGCACACACATTTCCCCTTCATTTTTGGAGGGGAAAAAGTGCGTCCTATAGGGCGAAAAATACGGTATTTGTTTAGGAACACAGGTTGCCACTTTAGACCAGGTGAGACCACTTGCCCATCTAAGCCCAGTTTTGTGTATTCTGATTGGCCGTGGTTCTCCGGGGTCTCAGGAAGAGAACAGTGTTTTCCATCACCAGCTACCTGCTTCTTTTAACTGGAAGTGAACCTGGGATCATCTTCATACCATGCACATGCTTTTGCTGCGAGGCTGTACAGCAGTTTCAGGATTCCTGCATGCCGTTAACTATCCGCTTTCAGAAATCTTTTTCTCCAAACATTTACACACTGATATAAAAGCATGTGTAATACCTTAATGACCAAGGCTAACCTCATCAGCCTGAAATTTACTTCAATCAACTCCTACCGGGTTTTTATCAAGTTCCTGGAAATGCACTCTGTCTAGACATTCTAGCACACACAGTATTAAGCTGCTACGCTGCATTTTAATATCGGACAACTTACAAGCACCATCCATTTTACAGCTAGGCACTGTCCCCCACCACACTGACCTACCTCTGCGGGGTCTGCTGACCAACAATGGCGTTTGCCGTCTCTCTCAGATACACCTCCCAGTCCGTCTCGGAAATGTCTTGGTCTGGAGTGAAAGGATACCTGTGCAACAAACAGCGATGACTTGCTTAAATACAAAACAAACAAACAGCCCTTTTGTAACCAAAACTCCCTCCTGTATTCACCCATTCTTCTGGACTTACTGTTGCACCCTGCATGCCTCACACATCAGAAGGGCCTTTCGGAGATTTCGGCCGGACTTTTCTGCAATCCTCTGAGCGAGTTCTCGAGGAAGAACCAGACCCTCCTTCTTACACACAATGGACAATACGTTGCAGATCTAGAGATTCAACAGGGCAATTAACAGTTTTGCATGGTACCTCGCTTTCCAAAAATTCCAAGTATCTCCACTCTAGTCAAAATTGCTGCAGCAGCCAGCTATGGGGGAAGTCCCTTTATTATAAAAGGATATGTGAAGTCACAAAGGAGCCAGTTTTACAAATAATGCTTGCAGGTGACCTGCACCCACCTTCTGAGTCACCTCTTCCTTGCCACAAGCCCCATTTGCCAGCCCTCCTGGGTACCAGGTAAGAGCAATGTGATGTCTTCCCACGCGCATTCCTCCATGAAGGAATAAATTCCTTCCTGCTGCTCCTTGAGCCAGGGACAAACCACATCAGCAGTTGCTCCCTGTATTCTTTACAGTAGCAGCGAGACAGACACACTACTAGCCTCCCTCACATGGTTGTAAAAAATACACAGCTATGTTGATATAGTGCCTTCAGCAACTATTTAACAAATTCTAAGTGGTATTTTCTAGTTTCAGAGAAATGCTTGGAGAAGTGTGGACTAGATAATGTTTGGAACTAAGCATTGAATCATAGAATCATAGAGTTGGAAGAGACCACAAGGGCCATCGAGTCCAACCCCCTGGCAAGCAGGAAACACCATCAGAGCACTCCTGACATATGGTTGTCATTGGTGGCAGAGTTTCAAAGACCTCCAACAGTTCTTTATCTCCCTCCCATGACTTATTACCTACCATTAGGTGTCCAGCTATTTCTTAGTCCACAGACACTTCCGCCCCATTCCAATCCTCGCTAAACAAATAAAAATTACAACCCGCATTTTTGAAAAAAACTGCAGTCATGCAAAGTACTGTAAAGGGGAACCTAATTCGGAAGTGTTCCATGCACACAGACACAGGATTAACTAGGCAGACAGAGTCAGGGGAAAACAAAGAACAAGGATCCCAAATCAGGTATTTAAACTTGTTGCATCCAACATTACACAGAGTAAAATGCAAGTGCACTGAAGGGCTGTCTGTCTGCCCCTGCCTTGAACCTACATCTTCAATGCTGGGCGCAGGCACTCGCACTGCAAGACACCTGCTCCGGATAGGTGCAATGACTTTCGATGTAGAATTGCAGCACAGAATTAATCTGCAGGTAGCCATATACTTCTCCATGGTTCGGCGCAACGCATGCTGGGCATCTTTTGTAAGCTTGTCCACTTCAGTCAACAGCACCACTGAAAAACAAAACAAAACAAAGCCAACCTTTATCATGCTCTCACAGAGTATATCTTAACTTGGCTTTTCGCTTCTGCTGATACGATGGGGCAGGATTAGAGAAAACCTTCCCACTTGTGCCTCTTCCACTGAAGTTCCCGGGAGGTGCTTCCCCACGGTGCAATCCTGTGCTGATGGCAGTTTGTGTAAATATTCTAGCCATATGTCTGGGAAAGGCACATCGCCTGAAACAGCCAGGGAATGGCTGGCTTAGCCACGACAGCACGGAAGAGGGGTTCTTGCAACTGGGATGCCTCTGACCTTGCTTTGAACCCAGGATCTTCCGCTTACTATTTCCAGCATCTCCAGGTAAGGCTAAGAAAGGATCCTGTTTAAAACCCTGGAGAACGACTGCAAGTCGGTGCAGACCGTCCTGGTATTCTCCAAGTGTTGTTGGACAACAGCTCCCATCATCTGTGACCACTTAGCCATGCTGGCTGGGGCTGATGGGAGTTGTAGTCCAACAATATGTATGACTTGCTTATATGGCAGCTTCCTATGTTCACATGGGTCTTTCCCTTGAGAGAAGCACTTTACCAGGAAGGAAGCTACTACATAGCGGGGGGGGGGGGGGCAGAGAGAGACAGAGACTCTGTATTCAACCTTGTCCATGTGATTAGGAAGTATTTACATATGCATGAAATCGCAGTACAATGAAATGTCTTCCTTTTTGTTCTGTATGAGTGAGTGTGGCAAGTCAGGAACTGGCTTGAGCTGGTGCTACTTTTGCAAAAAAATAAAAAATAAAAAAGCAACACTACATTGCCACTTCCCACCAAGAATAATGACTAAAAAGCCAGCTTAGTTCAGCCAAAGAAAACTGATGATCAGCTGAAGCCGATGAATGAATATTGTTACAGAGCCAATGCACACTGCTGCAAATCTTTTATATCCAAGGTTCAAAAGGTATTTGTTTAAAACATTTTTTACCCAGCTCTTCAGCTGAAAAGGCTCCCAGAGCAGCTTACAAAGATCAGAAATAAAGAGTCCTTGCCCTCAGGCTTACAATCTAAACGACAGGACACACAAGGAAAGGGACTTGGGAGGGAGGCAGAAAAAAGAAGAAGCTATGTCAAGCGCTTGTTCTTAGTTACACAATTCAGATCACTGGATTCAGAGGCCAGAGAGCCAACCTTTACAGGTAGTAATGATGATACCATTGCTATTAAAAAAATCAACACTGTAAACTGAAGATTGCATTTGGCTACAATAAGCTTAAGAGTTGATGCTCTACAGCAGGCATTGGCAAACTCCGGCCCACCAGATGTTTTGGGACTACAATTCCCATGATCCCTAGCTAACAGGACCAGTGGTCAGGGATGATGGGAATTGTAGTCCAAACATCTGGAGGGCCGGAGTTTGCCAATGCCTGCTCTACAGGGGCGTGGGGAGTTTCAAATGTTGCAAAACCAAGAGTCTCTCATGTAGCTTGTTAGTCCGCCAAGCATATTGCTACTGCAATATCGCCCTCATGCAAACAGATTATCTGCCTCTGATTCTATCTGCCAGATCAGGCTCAGCTGCATGCAGAAGGTCCCCTTCGAGACATTTGCAAGTAGGGCTGCAAAAGACTGCCTGCCTGAAACCCTGGAGAGCCCCTGCCAGTCAGTGCAGACAATATGGAGCTAGATGGACCAAGGATCTCACTGGGTATAAGGCAGCTTCCTAGGTTCCTAAGTGAAGGGAACCATAGAGTATTTTGAGAATACAGAGTCGCAGCAGAATCAATAGGTGAGAAGAGTCTAGATGCCTTCTAACAGCATGCAAACCTCCCACTTTCTGAATACCATGAAGCTCAAAGCGAAAATTCAAACATCAACAGCTATGGATCTTTCGGACAATTATTACAATTACAGAAATAAATTGGAGCTATATATACTATTATCTGGAACACAAGTATTGCACATATTTCAATTTCCCCCCTGATTTCTGAAATACATGCATTTCTGTTGGGGAACTACAATATTTCTGGAAATTCTGTATCTCTAAAAGTGACAGAAGACAAAAAGAGCTGGAGAATACAAAGAATTTACAATATTCAAAGCACATGGCTGATCTTGTGCAAAGTACTGCAAGATATTTTTCTTCAAGGTTATTGCTCATTTACAGACCTTTAAAATCTCGCTGGGTGCTTGTCTCAAGTTGCTGTGATTGAGCTAATGTCTTCAGTAATTCCTGAATTACCACCCGGTCACTGTTTCCTGCATCGCTGAAAATAAGTTCAGATTAAAATATGATACTCAAGGAGGGTGCAGCGCATGGCTGGGGAGAGTCCCAAGGGCCAGACAGAGATGGCTGGAGGGCAGCATATGCGAGCAATTCCTTAAAGATATACAGCCATGCCTCAGAAGTCAAATGGAATCCATTCCGGAAGTCCGTTGGTTCAGAAACCAAGGCATGGCTTCTGATTGACTGCAGGAAGCTCCTGCAGCCAATCAGAAGCTGCGTGGGACGTTCAGGTTCCAAAGAACATTCGCAAACCGGGACACTCACTTCCAGCGTTCAGGAGCCAAAACGTTCAACTCGCAAGGCATTTGGGATCCACGTTACGACTGTACTTTGGTTTCTTTAGCAGTAAAGCTGGAGCTAGCTTTAAAATTGCAACAATAAAACAAGGGTCTTCTAGCACCTCGGTAGTTTTTGCTGCAATGGGCTATAAAATTTACTCCTCTGAAAATTATAAGAATTGCAAAATTCCCACAGCCTCTTACTGGATCTTGTGAGCTTACTGCAAACATACCTTGGGTTAACTTCAAGGTGATAGTTGCTGGCAATAGTGCTAATTTCAATCTTCTTTTTAGAAGGCGCCTGAAAAGAAAGATTATTAAACAAAAAATGCATTTTAAAGAGATCAGTGACGGAAAGACTAAGCTGGAATCAGTGGGTTATGAATACAGGCTTCAAAAACCACCCACTGCTAACTGCTTAGCATGAGCTGAGTTGAAGGACTTGAAGGGCTTAACGGCACCCAGACTGCAACGCACCAGGGAAACTACGAAATAAAGAGACTCAGCGTGAAAATGGCGGCAGGTGGAATGGCATGCAAGGAAAAGGGTAACACCCTGGGTTCAACGCTCTCAAATTCAAGCAGCATGCTAACCTCTTGGAAAGGACGGGATGTGCCCCAGTTCGCATGTCGCTTTAGATCATAGTTTAAAACTAAGGTTTCATGGTTCCTTCTCCTTCTCTGCCATGAAACTGACTTGTCATGTTGTCCAAAGCTGGGTTCATGAATAATCTTATGCACTTCTATCAGGTTGCCTCTGGCTTGCCTTTTCTCTAAACTAAAAAGCACCCAAAATCTCCTCATAAGGAAGTTGCTGCTTCCTCTGAATCATTTTCATCGCCCTTTTCTAAAACCTGTTACCACTCTACAATATCCTTTTGGAGTTGAGGTGACCAGAACTGTACAGATTTGTATAGCAGCCTTATGATATTGTTTATTTTCCCTTCCTTTCCTAATGATCCCTAGCATGGCGTTCCAGCTCTTTTCACAGCTGCTGTATATTGGGTTGATATCTCTGTGACCTCAAGGACTTGTTCCTGATCAGTCACCACCAGTTCATGATCTTCAGTATCCAGTTCAGCTTCTAATATTGTGGTTTTAAGCAACTCACAAGCATTTTGGGGATATTTGACACCTTTGTCCTTGTCTTTCAGCTTTCTTTCTTACCAATCCCCTCATCTGGAGGAAGATCTCTCTTTTGAAGTCAAATGTAACCATGTTGGGTTCTCTACGCAATTCTTCATTTACTCATATAGTTCATTTAATAGCACTATGGTTACTGTTCCAAACTGCTTCACCAACACTTCTTACACCGGATCCTGGGCAGGACTTACCGTATTTTTCCGTCTGTAGGACACCCCCTTCTATAAGACCCCCCCTATTTGGGGGGATTCAATTTTAGGAAAATGAGGAGAGATGGCCCAAAGTTGTTGAGCCTCTCCCCACACACAGCTGTGGGCAGGAAACACTCTCTAGATCAGCCTTTCTCAACCTGTGGGTCCTCAGATGTTGTTGAACTACAACTCCCATCACCCCTAGCTAGCATGGCCAGAGCTCAGGGATGATGGGAGTTATAGTCCAACAACATCTGGGGACCCACAGGTTGAGAATCGCTGCTCTAGATCGTTTCCCGCGTGCAGCGGCATCAGGGGAAGTTGCGCTCCTGGGAACACAACCTCCTCTGATGCCACCGCGTGGGAAACGATCCAGGGAGCGCCTGCTACACGCAGCAGCATCGGGGGAATTTGCGCTCCCGCCAACGAGCTGGCTGGCGGCACACCACTTCTCCCACCCCACCCCCCAACGCCACTATCTGTGTATTGGACGACCCGTGTTTTCTTGACATGATTTTTGAGTGAAAAAGCCTCGTCCAATACATGGAAAAATATGTTACGTCCAGGGTCATTGCCCTTCTGGTCAGTTCCATGACCAACTGTCCTTGGGCAAAGTCATTTGGGGTATCTATAGAGATTTTACATTATCCTTCCAGCTTCTCTGTAAGATTACAACTTCCCAGTTTCTTGTACATTGAATCATGACTTGCGTCGCTTCCGATTTTAGGAACTAATAATATTGATAGAAACTTCATTCTACTTCTCTATAAACATTCTTCATGTGTACAGTAAGGCTTTCAAGTATACCTTTTACCCACGGTGATTAAACAGACCTTATCTAGTTCAGATCAAACTCCAAAATGAAGCTATACAGACACTGCAGCATCATTCTGCTCTGCCCTATTTTAGTTTAAAAGTGCTAACCTTCACATCTCTTTCTGTGCCTATATTAATAACGTGCCACTACTTTATATGCAGGGATTTTGAAGATGATGATAAAGACATTTGTCAAGTTCCGCCCATAGCTAGATGCCAAAGGACCCTCAGATAGGAAAGCATCTGACAGGAAGGGAAGCTGATATTTTGAAAGACTATCTACTTAAAACTGTTCCACTTAAAACTCCCCAGCATTAAGACGTTTGCAGGCACAACATGTTCCCATAATGTCTTATTAACTTAAGCAGGAAAATTTAATTTAAAAAGAAATAAAAATGGCAAGAGAGACCGTTTGCACAATGCTTTGGAAATATCTGTCTTCTCCAAGAACTCTGCTGATTACTAACCACTCTCTTTGCAATTTGCTGATTAAAATGCAAGCTTTCCCCAAAAAAAGATTTTTGAATTGATAGAAAGAAAATCTTTAGTAATAGATTTTCCAGGGGCTGTTTTCATTCCCCAAGCAGCTAACTATGCAAAGAGTTCATTTTGTTTGTTGAAAACATCACTTTGCAAATACTTCTTATCAAGTTATTGGTGGCATGTGAGAAAGAAATAATAATTAGTCAGTGAAGCCCACAATAAAGACGAACTAGTTTCTTGACACTAACTGCAGGCTTCAGCCTGAGACAGCAGGAAATGTAAGCTAAGTGCCCAACTAAATCATTTCAAATCTCACACAACTGAAGGGAGATAATAGTACCGGTAAATCCTTGGCAGTGATTTGCCAGGGAGAATTCCTCCAGCACAGAATGTTTACAGCCTAATCAAGTGCTAATTCATAATAGGAGGAAACAGCCACTGGTTATTTAGCCAACTGTGGAAATGGTGCTTAAATTGCCTGTAGGTCCTTTTCCAGCCTGGACACAAAAGGGCAAAAGTGTGTAGACAGCCACAGACATGCCTTCTCCACTTCCAAACTTTGCAGACTTAGGGTGGAGGTCTGAAAGGCCCTGTAAGAGTGTTTGCCTGAACACACGTACAAGCCCCCACATTATCTGGGTGCCCAATTGCGAGGAAGCTGGGAAATACTTTCAGGTAAACATGGGACGCGGGTGGCGCTGTGGGTTAAACCACTGAGTCTAGGACTTGCCGATCAGAAGGCTGGCGGTTCGAATCCTTGCGACGGGGTGAGCTCCCGTTGCTCGGTCCCTGCTCCTGCCAACCTAGCAGTTCAAAAGCATATCAGTGCAAGAAGATAAATAGCGGGAAGGTAAATGTCGTTTAAGGGACACGGGTAGCACTGTGGGCTAAACCACGGAGCCTGGGACTTGCCAATCAAAAGGTCGCCAGTTTGAATCCCCGTGATGGGGTGAGCTGCTCCTGCCAACCTAGCAGTTCAAAGCACGTCAAAGTGCAAGTAGATAAATAGGTACTGCTCCAGCAGGAAGGTAAACGGCGTTTCTGTGCGCTGCTCTGGTTCACCAGAAGCGGCTTAGTCATGCTGGCCGCATGACCCGGAAGCTGTAAAGCGAGATGAGCGCCACAACCCCAGAGTCGGCCACTACTGGACCTAATGGTCAGGGGTCCCTTTACCTTTACTAAACATGCTTACATGCTCAGCAGTTGGGAGTGAAAGGGGGAGAACTGGAGATATTGGATTGCCCTGATCTGCGTACCCCTTTGGACATCAGGGAGTGAGGAACCTCAGGCCTAGGGGACAAATATAGTCTATGCACTTTTGCCCTCCTGCATCCAGGTCGGAGATTAAAAACTAGCATGTGTTGAAATGTGCTGGCTTTTCCTGCATTATGTTGACAGTCAACATCTTTATCTCCTTTTGTAAATATGAAGTTAGGGCAGATTCTTACTGTTATGCTCTGATGTTCGATCCTCAGCTTCTCCACTCCGGAGCCATACAGTTCTCTCAGCAGGCACATGATTCTGGTCTTTTTTCCAGCTCCTGAAGGCCCATACACTAACAGATGAGGAAAGTCGCCACACTGAACCTGTCAAATGGAATACAGTAAAACTGAATTACAGTAATGTCTCAGTCAGCATCATGCTTAGTCAGCATCATAAACACAGAGAATGAGACATATTTTAGTATACCGTTCCCCACACTAGTTTTACAGCCCTTCACAATGTTGTCTTTTCCTTTGGAAGGCCATCGATTTAGACATGAGCACAAAATAGAGAGTTCAAGAGGACATGAAACTGTGACCGTGCATGGCGTGAGTCTGATAAAAGCCCTTGGTGCATCAGGTTTTCTAGGAGTCAGGTGGCTTGAGAACACATCCCGAAACAAACTAGGACCTGGAAGACCAGAGTTCAAATCCCCACTCAATCATGAATCTTGGGCAGGTCTTCAACTCTCAGCCGACCTAACCTACCTCACAAGGTTGTTGTGAAGATAATATAGAGAAGAAGAGAAGGAGGTGTGCCCCCTTGAGATCATTGGAGGAAAGGTGGGATAGAAATGGAATAAAAATAAAAATAGTCAGAAAGTGGCATACAGCAAACTTGAAAATAACTTAGAGAACCCAATTTTTAATAAACTAATGCAGAATTTTGTTGCAAGCCATAGACACCCTTATCCAGGGGTGTAGCCAGGATTTTTGTTTGGATGGGCAGGACTTTTGTTAGGGCGGGACATAACAGACATGATTGGTCAGTTAGTTAAGTATCTCTATTGTTTTACTTGATCGGGGGGGGGTAGCTGCCCCCCCCCCCGGCTTATTTGGACATTGAGCCCTAGGATCAAAGAGTTGGAAGGACCTCAAAGGTAATCTGTTAAAGGAAATCCACAATCACAGCATCTCCAATAGATCAAAATCTAGCCTCAGGTGGAAAATGAAAGAAGGTACACCACCTTTTGAAGCAAACTAAAGGACTGGAATTCAGCTGCAGAGCACTTTTTTCCCTTTTGTTTTTGGCACAAAATGGTCTGCAGAGTAAAGGTTTCAGTTCTCTGACATCTCTAGCCAGGTAGTCCTGGAGAGCTGTTGCTGCCACCAGCCATTGTAGAAAATAATGGGCTAGATGAAACAACCATCTGATTCCATACAGGGTAGTTTCCTAGTTTCCTAATGGATCAGGGTTAGAATGTGAACGACCTGAGTGCCCCAAGCTACTCAACTGAGTTCTCTCTATCATACAAGACTGCCAGTATCATAGGATGCCAAAAAAGAATATTTTGGGATTCACTGGTTCATTCTGCCAGGTTTACGTACATCTTTCATACTTTAGCCACTGCGCCTCCATTTAATCTGTGGTTGACTGCATTCCAGAACGAGGCCTGTCTTGTATCACAGGAGCCAACCCTTGAAATCTGTGTCAGATGAACTATTTTAACCCCGAAACAATCACTTTTTGCAACAGAGCAATTGCATATTTTGTGGTCAAGAGTACACAAAGTGTTCCTACTTCATTTTAGGTCTGACAAGCAATGTATTACAGTGGCACCAAGTTAAGTTTATATATAGACAATTACCCTGGGGTAAATCATCTTTCCATAAACAAGCCACCAAACATGAACAGCAGCAGCTAGAGTTAGAGAGAAAAAGTTCTGGGAGGAGATCACCAACGGTTAATTGCTTTGGTACTTGAGCCTGTCTAATATGTATTCTTTAACCTAGAAGTCCTATTCCCAAATCCCTAATGGATGGTGAATGTTGAAGGGAAAACATAACACAAAGACCACCACCACCCCCCAAAAAATTCATTTTTTAAAAAAATTAAATGTTCCAGGATTGAGCTTTTTGCTCAAATCAAACCACAAGAGCCTAACTCCAAAACGAAGACACAATGGCATTGTGATGTTTGCTTTGTGAAATTTTTGAATGCAAAGTCACACAAGTAGTGGAATCCCCCCTCCCACACTGCAACCCAAAAATAATTATTTGTGCAATCAAAGGCATAGGTAAAGGTAAAGGGACCCCTGACCGTTAGGTCCAGTCATGGCTGACTCTGAGGTTGTGGCGCTCATCTCGCTTTGTTGCCCGAGGGAGCTGGCATACTACAGCTTCCAGGTCATGTGGCCAGCATGACTAAGCCACTTCTGGTGAACCAGAGCAGCGCATGGAAACGCCGTTTACCTTCTCGCCGGAGTGGTACCTATTTATCTACTTGCATTCTGACGTGCTTTCGAACTACTAGGCTGGCAGGAGCAGGGACCAAGCAATGGGAGCTCACCCCGTCGCGGGGATTCAAACCGCCGACCTTCTGATCGGCAAGCCCTAGGCTCTGTGGTTTAACCCACAGCGCCACCCGCGTCCCTTTTTAATCAAAGGCATACCATTGCTTAAAGTCCACTGGAATTGGAGCATTCTTAAGTTTGCAGTGGATTTTATGTTGCCCTGGGTTCAACTACCTAGTAGCCATGTTCTCTGTCTTGGAAGTGTGATACTATCACAAATTACTGGTGCTGCAAACAGTCACTGCCTTATACAGAGACAGACAGTATAAGCTGCCTTATACTGAGATATACCACTGGCCCATCCAATCCTGTGTACAACAGCCTCCCCACTCCGTATGTTTTGGATTACAACTTCCAATAGCCCCAGCCACCAGGGTCATGCTGACTAGGACCGATGGGAGTTGTGGTCCAAAACATCTGGACTGGAAGTCTCCAGGCTGGGGAAGCCTGGTCTATACTGAGAGCCAGCAACTCTCCAGGGCTGCAGACAAGTCTTTCTAGCCCTACTGCCCAACGCTAAACTTGATAACTTGATTATCATTCAAGCTTTGCATTAAAAGGTCACAGGCTGCATCTCTGGCATTTCATGGACTTTAAGCCCTACTATTTTGCACTGGAGTTTTTTTCTCTAAACATGTATGCCTGCATGTGTAAATATTCTTGCCAACTGACATATTTTGTGCTTACAATGGAGGCAGTTCAGGTCTATGAAAGCTCATGCCCCAACCAATCTTGTACGGTATGGTATTTGGTACTCCCAAATACCATAGTTTTTGCTTTGTACCTGCTGTTCAGCACCATCATGAGGGAGAGAAGCTACGGTGCTTTTCCAAACCAGGGTTCAGTACCTGGATAGGTGAGGCGGTAACAAAGAGAAATAAATGCACCTGAGGACATACACAATGCATTTTTGTCATCGCAGCTTGCCCCCTCCAAATGTATCCAAGAGCCTGACTTAACTTGAGCTCACGCATCAGCCACATAAAGGGTATTCTCAGTTAGCAGGTATGCACATATGCTCACTACACATGCTCAGATGCTTTTCTTTTTCTTATTACTTCATGTACTGCAGGACTGAAATCAATTCCAGGACTGCTCTTTGGCTGGAACCAAGGCTGGCGCTATCATTAGGTCAACTAGGCAGCTGTCTAGGGCACAAACTTCATAGGGGCGCAGTACTGACCTTTGAGGGGCACAGTTTCGTACAGATTCACTGGATTTGTGTACTGAAACACTTTCTTTGGCATTTGAGAAAGATAACCAAATACTGTCGCGCTGCCTAGTCTTGCAATTTAAATTAAATTTAGCAGTTCAAGTTTTGTGCTTTTCATTTTTTTCCCTACATCTGTTTTTGAAAATTGAAGAAATAAGAAGAAGTGTGGTGCAAATAGGTAGCTCTGCCTAGCACCGGCTCTTGCTATAACCCAACAAAACAGGAAAGAAAGGGGGATGAGGTGTTTGAAGCTATTGCGGAGAGCAAAAACACTCGCCAATACCCGAGGACCAGCGCGTCCAAAAGCCGCCGAAGAGGTGAAGAGATAAGAAAGCGAAGGGCACCCGAGCATGTGCAGAGCGCCAGCCGCCTGTCTCCCTCTCTCCCTATCTCTCTCACCAGGTTGCGAAGCTGCGCTGCCTGATCCCGGTGATAGTCCACTTTGCCGAGGGAGTTCGGCCGGTACTTGTCCACCCAGAGACTCATGGCCACGATCCGCAGAGAAAGAACCGGACTGCAAAAAAATAAATAAAAAGCGCGCGCTCCGTTGCCGCGCTCCCGCCCACGATAGGCGACTCAAGCGCCGCCACCGCCCCGTGAAAACGTCACCGAGCATGCGCACGAGCTCCTCGTTGAGGTCGTCAGCCTCGGCTCTTTCACTTCCGCCAGTTCGATCGAATCTGGGCCCCGCCTTCCTCGCTTACGGTGGCCGCCTGGGGATAATATTATGAAACAAAGGGAAGCTTAACGCAGGCGGAGAAGTGGAGCGTAGTGTGCGCCGCCTCGTGCAGGATATCGCGGCGCTGGCGGGGGCTGCCCACGTGCCATGGGTTTTCTGGGCCACAGTGTTCTGAAGAATTTGTGCTTTGAGTCACCTGCTCAGCAGCAGCGGGCAGTACATTTTCTTATTGCTTTGTGTTCTGCCTTTGCTCACGATTCCATAGAATCATACAAGTGGAGGGTTGCAAGGGGTCCCATGGCTCATCTAGTCCAACGCCCCCCCCCCCCCCATGCAGGTGAAATATACTCGGAGTCGAGTGTGGATTTCATGCTCTTTATTCAGCTCATAGTAGCGAGGAATGGAAGTTCCCCCAAACTGTCTGCTTTATATACATTATTTACACAATGGGCCCCACGTGATTGGCTAATTCCGGGATTCTCCTGTAGGCCAATCAGGTTGCGGATTCACTTCCACCTGGAGCTGAATTGGGTGGCTCCTGCAGACCAATCAGACTGCTGCATTTTGACATCCTATTCAACTCAGTACATAACAGCAGGAATCTCAGCTACTTCCTACATGGCAGGTGGCCATCCAACCTCTGCTTTGAATCCTCCACAACCTCCCGAAGGAGTCCGTTCCACTGTCAAACTGTTAAATTATTGGGACTAAAACGTTTTTCTTTTTTTTATGTATCTTGTGTTTTTATATTGAGATTTTATGTCATAACTGCCCTGAGACTTGTGGGTATAGGGCAGTATACAAAATTAATTAATTAATAATAGTGGTGCCCAGAACTAGATACAGTGGTACCTCGGGTTAAGTACTTAATTCGTTCCGGAGGTCCGTTCTTAACCTGAAACTGTTCTTAACCTGAAGCACCACTTTAGCTAATGGGGCCTCCTGCTGCTGCCTCGCCGCCAGAGCACGATTTCAGTTCTCAACCTGAAGCAAAGTTCTTAACCTGAAGCACTATTTCTGGGTTAGCGGAGTCTGTAACCTGAAGCGTATGTAACCTGAAGCGTATGTAACCTGAGGTACCACTGTACAGTACTCCAGATGCAGTCTGACCAAGGCAGCACAATCCTTTCTGCCACCGCCACCCCTCCCTTTAGCCTCCACAACAACCCTATGAGGTAGGCTAGGCTGATAGGGAGAAAAGCTGGACCAAGGTTGGTACATAATCCAGAGAGTATTATGGATAGATTGGGATTTGAACCTCCATATCCCCTGGTCCTGGTCTAATCTGTACATGCTACACACTGGTTCCAGCTCCTAACGGCCTCAGCTAGTATGGCCATATGTCAGGGATGACAAGAGCTCTGGCCTTACAACATCCAGGGGAGAGAGGCACAGGTTCCCCATTGTTAAATAATGGGTAGACATAGCAGACGATGCAGCGATTTCTCCAAAGCAGCTCTTTATTTGTAAACTGGAACAGAACTGAACAACAAACAGCTCAGCCGGCCTGCTTTTATAGGCAGCCGGCTGTCGACATTGTAGCAACAACAACCCAGGGTTTCCCACCTAAAGTACCTTAACTGACGTGGACCTGAGTGAAAACTATATACACGATACTCCTGGTGGCCAGGGTGAGAACTTCAATACGTAACACCATCCCTAATTAGTGCAACATCCTGATTCCTACAGTACTTAGCCAGATGCATTGGTGAAGCTTACAGTGGCATGGCATGGTGGCAGCAGCCCCTTCCCAGCCTCTGAAATCAGAAGTATTCTCTGAACCTGGAGGTTTCATTTAGCTGTCAAGTTAATATCTGCTGACGGAAGTGTCCTCTGTGAACCTGAAGTGTTAGGCTGTTGCTTAGAGGTGGTGATGGGGTGGATGTGGGCCAGTAAACTGCAGCTGAATCTTGCAGAGAGATATCTGAAAGACTTGCCTCCTTCCCTGCAGACCCCTTGAGGGGTTAAGATCAGCACAGGCAGAAGCTTGGGGTGGTGATGACCCAGGAATGTAGCAGCCCCTAAAATGTGGAATTCCCTCCACTCAGAAGAGCACCTGGCACCTTCACTCGTTTATCCTGAGCTGTTTATTTTTAGGGCTCCCCCTATTTCTGTGATTTGTTTTAAACTGTTTTTAATACTGAAGTTTAAATGGTATTATTTAAATTTAAATGGATCTTAGGGTGAAGAGTGGGTAATAAATCAAATTAATAAAAATAATAATTAAAACTTGTCTGATCCCATTTTTAAAAGCGATCTAAAGGATAAACTAGGCATGGCATTTATCACATGATTAACATGCATGATTAAAAAAGAAAGAGCAACAGGATCTGGCTTTAGGATTGTGTACTGATTATTTGGGGGTGCTTTTTAAAAGAACCACACACACACCAGTTAACCATGTGTCTATGATATCCAGTTTGGCCCTAACCCAGGCACCAAAGTAAAAGTAAATAAATAAATCTTACTATCCATTTTTTCCACACCATGCATAATTGTGTAAGGCTCTGTCATGTCCCCTCTTAACACTATGCTTGTCTGGATGTAAACCCCGCTGTGTTCAATGGGGCATAATCCCAGATAAGTGTGCATAGCCTTCGGCTGCAATCCTGAACATACACAGTGGGACTTCTGAGTAAACATGCTTAGGCATGCAGGGTTATCTTTCTTTGTAAACTAGACAAGTCATGGCCAATCCCATTTCTACCAGCAAATGCATATGAAGTTAGGGGATTTATTTGCACTCTGCACTGTCTCTCATTTTGCATTCACCCAGAAACTCTTTGTACATTCTCATTGCCCAGTTTGGATTTTTTTTTTTAACGGGGTTTTTTCAACAGCCGGTTTTGGATTTCAGCTTCCTAAATAGTGTAGCATGTCATCTGCAAATGCAGCAACCTCACTGCTGGCTCCAGGTCATTTATGAATGTCCCAGTAGAAACCCTTGAGATATCCCAGCATTCATTTCTCTCCATTGTGAAAACTGCCCCACTCCTTCCCAGCAAACCTTTGATTTCAAAAAGGACAAATTTTCCTGTGACATCACGACTCCCCATCACTTTGGCAACCTGCAAATTCTTCTGTCTCTGTCCTCTCCCTGAAGTGGGGGGGGGCAGGGGAGAGGACAGGCTGGCCAGCTATAACATTTCCGAAAATGCATTATAGTAGGGCAAACTGCTTTGCAAAAAATTGGCACTAGGCAAAACCGCACACAAAAATGTGTATATTAGGAGATGCTGGTGCTTTTTCATGAGGACTTAAAAAAAAAAAAGAACACCATAAGCTGATGTGGAAATGTGGAGAATTGAATTTTATGATTGGAAAAATGAAAAATTAACAGATTCACCCAGTCCTAGTAGGAATTGACTTCCAGTGCAATGGAAGTTAACCTTCAGACTTTGATCTGGCAATCTTATAAATAACCGTAGCACGTGCTTGAGGCTGTTCTGCTGTGCAATAAGGAACAATTACTTAAAACTTAGTGAAGGACATCTGGCAAATAAAGGGCATCTGGAAGGCAGCTACCACATTTTTCCTCTGTACATCAATGATTTGTCACCGTCTACATCCAAACAAAAGCATCCTTAGGAAGAGGAAAAAGAAGAGCTTCACAGGGAAGTCTCCCAAACAGTGTGTTTAACACAAGGCAGAGACAGTGCCCGCCCCATGGCTGTCAATTTTCAATTACGGTGTGGAGCTCAGAAGTGTACACCTGTATATCCACATACACAGAACAAATAAAATATGTCTCAAAAATACAGAGTGTACCATATATACAAAAAAATCAGGCGGTCACAGTGAATAGATTTCAAGTATATCTAAGAGGAATACACTAGTACTTACCTCATATCTTAAAACTCATATGCCCCAGCCAGCCCCAATCTGAATATAGTACCAGCCAGCAAGTGAAAAATCAGATGATCTAGATGATGATGATGATTATAATATTTATTTATACCCCACCCTCTGGCTCTAGTTCTGAGTTATTTGTTGTAAAGAGGCAAGCAAATATAGGCAACAATAAAAGAATAAATTACTGCAAGCTTCAATCAATATCATCAGTTTTTTTGTAAACTGCCCTGGAAGATAGTATCTTTTATCTGACTAAATAAAATTAATCATTGCATGCTGCAATCCGGTACCCATGTACCTGGTGGTATATTTATTTACTGAGTAGATTAAGAGAAGCATAGGATTGTACTGTAAGGCTGCAACCCCCACCACCCTTTTCATGTTACTAAGCCTCATTTAACTCAGACATACTGTACTTCCGAGTTAAGAAGTGTGTAGGATTGTACTGTGATCTATGCCATGTTTATTCAGAAGTCCTTCTGAGTTCAATAGTGCCTACTCCCACGCAAGCCAAAGGAGCTGCAGCCTTACAAAGCAATCCTTTGCATGTCTACTCAGAAGCAATTTCGATTAATCTCAATGGGATTTAACCCCAAGTGAGTAAAAATTTGCTGTTTTACAGGATAATCCTAAACTTGCCTATTCTGAAGTGCATCCTATTGAATTCAATGGGACTTACTCCCATGTAAATGGAGTTAGGATTGCCACCTTAGTAGGCTCATGTTTGATCAACAAAGTTTCTCAGTGGTGAGAGAAGCAGAACCTGCACAAGCCAGGCTGACACAAAACCCCACACATACATTAAGTAGAATAGAAGCATTGCCACGCGACCCCACCCCCACTCATTATGCCCCCCCTCCACCTCTTTCCCCCTTTTCTTCCTAATGTAACACTAATGTCTCAACAAATGAAACTGATTTGTAGAATATGTAACTTGAAAAAAGAGACATTGCACATACTTTTGTAAACCAAGAAATCTTTAATTAAAAATATGTTTAAAAAAACAAACAAATGCTCTCAGTTAAGAGTATAGTTATTATTATTTTAAGGCTATGGTAGAAAATGTAAGGGACGCGGGTGGTGCTGTGGGTTAA